TACCTACAGAGGACAGAAGAGGAATTCAAATCCTCTGGGACTGGAGTTACAGACAGTTATGAGTCTCCATGTGGGTGCTGAAAACTGAACCCAGGTTCTCCGTGAGAGCCAGTACTTTTAACTGCTGATCCATTTCTCCAGCCCCAGCTTAGTGTTTAACACATATCTAGACTTCAATTACTTTTACTTTACTTGAAAATAATTATACCATATCATATATGTCATATTAGATAACAAAAAACATCAAACAGAAAACAAAACCCAGACTTAAGACGTATATATTTATGAAGCAGGTATTTATAATTCAACTTTTAATAGTTTAATTTTTATCTGCTTAGATTTAATATATTTGAAGTAAAAAGCCAGAAACTGATTTCAAAGTAATATTTTTCAATTATTGCAGTACTTAAATTAAATTATATAAACTTTTTCTCTCTATTATACATGACCTTTCGGGGGAATGTCTCGCCATCAAAATCAGAACTCTCTAAGTACTCCTGTTTCAAACCGGGACTCAGCATAACCACTTGCTCGTTTGTTTGCTTGCTTGCCTGCTGTTTTTGTTTCTGTTGTTGTTGTTTTTCATTTTGGAAACTGGGTTGGTTTTCTTAGGAGACCAAAAACTCTTAGAAGCTAGGCCTGTTGCCACTCCCTGAGACCCCAGCAGTGTGGCTCCGGGAAGGACAACAATTTGAGGGTAGCCTGGGCTACATAGGGAGGTGGGAAGACTATCTCAAAACAGGAAAACAAAACTTTATAAGCAGAAAGAAGAGAGCAATTAGGGAAAAATTGGAGAAAGAGAAAAGTGAAGTCTTAGAGACAGTAAATGATATAAACATACGATAATCCAACAGAGAAACTAATTACTTCAAAACATACTTTGGATTCAGTAGAGAGTTGTTTGTTGTTGATTTTGGTTTTGCTCAGCTTCCCAAGTGGCTAGGTGATAGGCCTGTGCAACCACACCCAGCCTGTAAAATATTTTTTCCACAGACTTCAAGGCACTTAGAACAATTAATTATAATAAAATACAATGTCCCACTCCAAACCTTAGCAACATAATTTAAATTTCTAATTGCCAGAATATTATTATGAGTTAGCTTTAATTGTCAACTTGACACAACCCGGGAAAAGAATCTTAAAGGGGAATTATCTAGAGCTAGGTGGCCTGTGGGCATATCTGTGAGGGACTGGTTTGATTGTTACTTGATGTGGTAAGAGCCAACCTACTATGGGCAGTACCATTCCCTAGGCAGGGGGTCAGGAAACAAAGAAGTGGGCAAGGATGTGTAGATTCTCTCTCTGCTCTTGACTGTAAATGTGATGTGAGTAGCAGACTGAGCTTCTGCCTTGACTTCCCCGAATTGGTGGACCATGACTTGGAACTGTAAACTGAAAAAACCCTTTCCTCCATATCTTGCTTTCTGTCACAGCAACCAAAACGAAATTAGGGCAGCAACTATAAAGTGATTAGTATATGCATTCAGTCACTATGATTTCTATTCTTTAAAACAAACTTATTTTCATGACATGGCAATTTCTCAAAGAATATAATGTCAAACGAACATAAAATATGCAGATTTCTATATGTAAGTAATAAGCTAACTAAACCATCACAATGACTTTGAACTCTTCATCACAAAGATGCATTGGGTGCATTTTTTATAAATTGAGATAATAAATAATAGATTGGGTCTAAAAGTAATTTGTGTTTTTGCTGAGCTATCTGTTCCCAAAATATCTGGATTCCAAGTCCCTAATACATTACACTACAAATTTAGTTCTTAACTCTAACTCATTTGTGTTAGAGGTAGGACCCTGGTACCCTTGTGCTTCCCTTCAACATTTTGTCTTTTCTTCTCATCAATCACAGAAAAAGAAGAGAGACTTGTCAATGTTTTGCTGTATCCACTTGGGATGCCAACCACTCTAATTTATTAAATTATGAAATTTCCATTCAATAGAGGTAAACTTTTATCTAAGTTCTGGAAGAAGCAATCTTATAAAGGCCCTAACAATAATCTTCCATGCTTTGTTCTGAGTAGGACATTTTTTTTCAGCCAGTAAACCATGCTATCATTTACTACAGTGATAAAGCAGGCAGTTCTGATATCTTGCTTGACTGAGAAACTGGTAAATTCTGGTTTTGTTGTCTTTTTCTGATGTCATTATGGGAATACAGAAAGATGACAATCTCTCTAACTAGGTACACTTAAGATTTAAGTTATTACATATTCTACTTAAGTAAGAGATCTTAATAATATCAATAAGTAAAGAGATGGGTGAATGGCTCAGTCAGTAAACTGTTTGCACATTAGGAGTGCTAGCACCAAGGTTAAAGGTCAGGTGCAAGATCATGCCTGTGATCCCAGTGCTGGATAAGTGGAATCTGAAGGATGCCTAGGGCTTATCTGTTAGTCTGCAACATCCAAATCCAGAGAAAATGTGCTGTGGGATGGTCTGTATGTCAAATGTGTTGCTCTGATTGGTCAATAAATAAAACACTGATTGGCCAGTGGCCAGGCAGGAAGTATAGGCAGGACAAGGAGAATTGAGAGAACAGGAAGGCAGAGGGAGACACTGCCAGCTTCTGCCATGACAAGCAGCGTGTGAAGACACTGGTAAGCCACGAGCCACATGGCAAGGTATAGATTTATAGAAATGGATTAATTTAAGATATAAGAACAGTTAGCAAGAAGCCTGCCACGGCCATACAGTTTGTAAGCAATATAAGTCTCTGTGTTTACTTGGTTGGGTCTGAGCGGCTGTGGGACTGGCAGGTGAGAGAGATTTGTCTTGACTGTGGGCCAGGCAGGAAACTCTAGCTACAAATGGTGCCCAACGTGGGGCAAGAGCTTCCACCTAAAACCTAAAAAAAGATTCTAAAAACAGTTCCTGTTGTCTCTCTCAAGTTAGCGGCAGCCTGCGTGTTTGAGCTACTATGGCCGGTTCCTGGTGTGTGCGCTCAACCTGCAGTATGGCGGAAATGAGGCCTCTACAAGTGACATTAATCTGGGCCTCTGCAAATGGCGCATTAAGCTGTGTGGTGGATTTAGTCTTTGCTAGTACAAAACAAAAAAAGAAGTTTCTGGGCTACACACTGCTTTGATAAAAGCATAGACCCACTATTTCTGAGAGTTGATGGCTCCCAGAGCTGGCGGAAAATGTACCACCGCCATGTTGGGAAGCTGAAGTGGGTGGAGCCAGCAGCCACAGCGCCATTTCAGTCTTAAAATGCTACAGTTTAAAGCAATAGGCTCAAGGTAATATAAAAAATAAGCCATGTAAAGATGGCTACCACACAGAGAATCTGAATTATGTTCTCTTTGATATTAGTAACTAAAAAAAAAAAAAAAAATTTGATTGCAAAAGCTGTTGAGTTATGCCAAAATGTATATTTTAAAGGTACCTTGACTTCAAAATTTGGATGTAAGGATATGTTGCTTTCGAAAGGAGGCTCTGCTTTTGTTTCCACAGAAAGCCAGTGGCTATGGATTTGTTCCAGATTAAGATACATCAGGTTTGACCAGCCAAGATCCCCTGAAAGGTCTCCGATGACTCCAAGGCCCAGATGATTCAACATCCAAAACTGTTTCAAGGCAACTGGCTCAGATGATACACCCTCACAGACTACTCCATAATCCTAAAATTTTCTTTGTGTCCCCATAAGATACAGCGCCCCCCTCCAGCATTAAGTAGTAAGAAAAGCTACACCCAAATTCCCAAATATACCAAGCTGGCTTTGGAGATGTGTAAAAGTTAAAACCTTTTAAAAAAAAAAAGAAAGAAAGAAAGAAAAGGGGAAGTGCTGTGGGATGGTCTGTATGTCAAATGTGTTGCTCTGATTGGTCAATAAATAAAACACTGATTGGCCAGTGGCCAGGCAGGAAATATAGACGGGACTAACAGAGAGGAGAACTGAGAGAACAGGAAGGCGGAGGGAGACACTGCCAGCTTCTGCCATGACAAGCAGCATGAGAAGACGCTGGTAAGCCACGAGCCACATGGCAAGGTATAGATTTATAGAAATGGATTAATTTAAGATATAAGAACAGTTAGCAAGAAGCCTGGCACGGCCATACAGTTTGTAAGCAATATAAGTCTCTGTGTTTACTTGGTTGGGTCTGAGCGGCTGTGGGACTGGCAGGTGACAGAGATTTGTCCTGACTATGGGCCAGGCAGGAAAACTCTAGCTACAAAAAGACTATAATAGAGAGTGATTAAAGTGGACACCCAACATTGGCCTGCACATACACACACACACACACACACACACACACACACACACACACACACACACACACAAAATGAGTGTTTTGTGACTCAATGAATCCTTTACGCTGGAATCCAGCATATGAAAAACAGTTATCAATTTTCCAACCATCCCCTTTAGCTGTGTGACCCTAGAAACAGAGGCTCCAACTATACCTGTCCATTGGCAGTGCTCATGCACTAATTTAATTACTTTATATTTATTTATCTACATATAATCTTTGAAAACACATTCTCAGCCTTAGCTAACGGAGGAGCCACTCTTCCCCACATCCTAGTGTTTGCTGTTCTGTTTATCTTAAATTAGTGTTGATTGATTGATTTTAAAACCAACTGAATAGTGTTTTAAAAGTCAGTTCTATTGAACTGCTATGCTTGTAGAAAGACTCTTAGTTCTTGAACCTACTGTGAATAAATCCCAATTCCATTCTCTTTGGTCCCAAGTAGATCTGCTGGATTTGTTTAATTTGCAATGGAAAGAGGAAAATTGCTAAGGGCATAGTTTCCAAAAATGTGTTCCTTTGTCAGATGTTAATGGATGTTATTTTTAGGGTTCCATAGTCCAATGAGTTTCTGAAATAAAAATTAAAATTAATTAAAACAAATTTTTTTATGGAGAGACTGCTTAGGAAATTTAATATGCTAATAAGCAATTATAAATCCCTGAGAGTGACACTGTGTGTGGTTTCCTACCTAAAGACCATAAAAACCATGATTTCAGAGAACAGTTTACATAACTGGTTCTTTATCGAACACTTTGTGGGAAATCCTGAGCTTGAACAGGATGGAAAAGAATATTAAGTATAAATATTGGGTAAGAAATAAGGAGAGAAACACAAGGTAGCAAAGGTGAGATATGGAATTGAAAGATGACACGTGTCAGATGTCACCATTGTGCTACTGTGACAATGGAGTCCTTGTTAGCAGTTAGCAACCAGAATGTTTACTTTTTTTTTTTTTTTTTTTTTTTGGTTTTTCGAGACAGGGTTTCTCTGTGTAGCTTTGCGCCTTTCCTGGAACTCGCTTTGGAGACCAGGCTGGCCTCGAACTCACAGAGATCCGCCTGGCTCTGCCTCCCGAGTGCTGGGATTAAAGGCGTGCGCCACCACCGCCCGGCTCAGAATGTTTACTTTTGATCATATGTCATAGGATGGCTGGGGGCACTGTTCCAGGGTGTCTTCATTCAGAGATGCAGCTGGAAGGGTTGCCACCATCTGGAACATCACAGGTCACTATGGAGTAGGAAGGGACACTGGATTAAGAAAAGCTTCTACCTAGAGTTAAAATGTACCACTTGTGAGATCCATTCATCAGCGCGAATTGCTTGGTCAAATCTAGAGGGATGTGGGAAACTCTAACGTGACTTAGTTCCAGGAAGACAAGAGAGTATCAATATGAATATTACTCATGACTATGTAGAGGGGTGAGGAAAGCTATCTACCCCAGGTCTTCCTTCGTCTCACTAGCCAGTGACATTGTTGCAAGGTGAGGAGACAGGAACTTAACCTAACTCAGACCATTCTGGTGGTCAATTTCAGTATCAGAAGCTTCCAGAAGTAAAGACTGCTGCACAATCTCCTCGCATCCCATCCCCCTACATTTACCTCCCTTCCATAAGAGCTCATTCCCAGAGTACTTACTAAAGAGCCTTCCATGAGGTAATTTCTCAGAGCCTGTTTTGGGGGACACTCAGTTGTAGCAGACAGCAATTGTCCTAGAGTAATAAAAAAAAAAGCCTTGTGTCATAAATATACATTCCACAGTTGGCTTTTGTCCTTTCCTTTGTGTGATGTTTGAGGTTTGTTTTGACTAATACAGCTCTAATTAGTTTATATCAGCTGAATTGGGAGAAATACCAAGAGTTACTTACCTATTATCCTGATATTCATAACTTGGGTTTGTCTCAAATTTTATGGTTACAAACTTTGCAAGGGTCTTTGCATATGCTACTTGTTCATAAATGCAGGGTTTATATCTGTGTATATGTGCAAGCACATATACATAAAATAAGAATTGTAGTAAGATACAATTTCTTCAATCTCAATTTTATTAAATGATACAGTTCTCTAAATACTTTTAGAGTTGAATGTAGTGACCAATTATGCTTCTTTTTTTGTGAGTCACCTATTACAAATCATTTCTCATTTTTCCTATTGAATTTTCAGTCCTTTGTTTATTTCATTTATAATATATACTCTAGTTACCATTGTCAGATACACACATATGTCTAAGAAATTTGAAGCCAGTTTGTGAGTTGCTGTTGAACACCGATATCCTTTTTATAAATAAACTTTAAATTTTAGTACCATCAAACTTACCCATCTTTTCTTCCTATAGTATCTGCACTTCTGTGTTACTTAGAAAAATTTCTTCCTACTCCAAGCTTTCAAAATATTTGGTACTTTCTTTGAGAATTTTTTTGCATTTGAGTTACTAATTCACCCAGAATCTGTATTTATTTTCATGTGAGACATAGTAGATACTTTTTAACACACCAGCTAATGGCTTCAGGATCTTTTTTGTTTTTTGTTTTTTTGTTGTTTTTTTTCGAGACAGGGTTTCTCTGTGCAGCTTTGCACCTTTTCCTGGAACTCACTTGGTAGTCCAGGCTGGCCTCGAACTCACAGAGATCCGCCTGGCTCTGCCTCCCGAGTGCTGGGATTAAAGGCGTGCGCCACCACCCGGGATCTTTTTTACAGAGTTCACGCCCCAGGGTTAATCTGTTGTGTGTGCCTTTGTTGTTTTGGTTTGGGTTTTGGGTTTGCTTGTTTTGTCTGTCTGTGTCCCACCAGCTCCTCAGATTCCTTAAGAAGGCTTCGCAGTAAGTCTTGATAACCTGAAAAAGCTCCTTTCCCCCTTTTCCTCTGTAAAATCACCTTGGCTTCTCTCAACTTTTTCTTCCCAGTAAATATTGGAATCTTGTTAATTTGGAGTTCATTTATACCTCTGTGGTTTTGAGCATTTTCATTAGTAAAAACTGACATGTCCCTGGAGAGATTCCTTTTAACCCTTTCCTGTCCATGCCTCACTCTTCAGTGTCATGATAACCCAGCGATGTGGGAGTGAACATCTGAGCCTACGCATATGCCTTGCTCTCCATTTTCTCTTCCAGTATAGATTGATTGAATGTGACCCAAATGTGACTTGAAATGAGTGTGGTGCTTTAAGAATGACTGATGCCAACTCATGAAACAAGTAGTAACATTTGCAATAAACAGAATGGCTGAGGAACTCAACTGAGGAAGTGCAGATATTAGATTTAAGAGAGTTATGAGAAACGCCTAAACATTGCATGGCAAAACGAAGAAGAAAAGAATATCCCTCACTACTAGGAATAACGGAAGCTGGCAGACATATTTACTCATGTATTCAATATTCATGTAGGATCCACTGTTTTCCACGCCATGTTCTGGCCTTGGGAAAGAGTAACAAACTAAACAAAGCCTATATGTAACCTTTGTGAATGCAATCAGCTAAGGGACATTTTACATGTCGAGTGAACACTAAGCACCCACTATATAAGAATGTGAAATTACTACTTTGGTCCTCCAGCTACTCCTGAGCAGATTGACCACCATAAAGTCAGCCAGAGAGCAACAGTCAATGTTGTATGGCACAGTATTGTTTGACATATAAATATTGTACTATGCATATGTATATATACATAAACATACTTGTCTAGTTGTATAAATATAAGATCTGTTAAAACATAACTGCAGATTGCGAATCAGAACAGGTTCCCAAGAGGAGCTAAAGAATCTACTGGAATATGAGAAAAGCAAAATTTGTAGGTAGAAATAGTGGAATGGCAGCCAGAGATAATAACTACTTCTATCTAGGCAGTGGGCGGAGACTCTCAGTGTACTCACCTACACGAAGAGCCTCAGCATCCCTGGAAAGAGAATTATGTTAGTAAGGGAAGTTTGCTTGGATAAATCAAATGAAGTCAGGTAATGTTGGAATCTGGCAGCCAGCAGAAGAGTTTGGAAGACTCTGGAGAGCAAGGATAAGGTCCCTTTTTTTTCCTCTCCCCTCTTCCCACCCTGCCTCCTCCTCTCCCCGACAATCTCTCTGAACTGTTTGATTAAAGTCAAGTTGAAAGTCACACTGCCAGCATGGAGAGGAGAGGCATGGGGAAGTATGGAAGGAGGGATTAGAAAAGTGACTTTTCAGCTGGAGTCAGGAAAGTTTGCAACACAAACACCAGAAGCTGGGTCTAAGTTCTATTTCTAGAATCCTAAAGGCTAACGCCTGGGTGGCAGAAGCAGGCAGATTCCGGGAGCCTGGATGCTAGCCAGCCTTGCCTATTTGGCAAATATAGGTCAAATGAGTGACACTACTTAAAACAAGGTGGACAGCATCTAAGGAATGACACGTGATGTTGACCTCAAGCATATGTGCACATGGGTACACCCACCAACCTGTGTATACATACACAATAGTAAACTAATAAGCACTCGTGACCTCCATATGCACTGAGCCCTCCTGCTCCTTAGCCCAAATCTCCAACTTCAAACCTGAGTAGATCCCTGGGGAGCATGCACAAAATCAATGCGATGAATAAAGAGATAGAGTTTGGGTGTATGGAGTCAACAGGAAAGACAGGCAACACTCTGCATGCAGATGCCGCAGAGACGGGAAAGTCCTGACCCTTCTACTTTCTCTCAGATGCCAGCCGCATACATTCATCGATGATTTTCTTAGTTACCTCCTTACCTCAGATGACCTTTAGCTTGCCCTCTTTGTAATACCTATCACATGGAAAGGGCTTTGGGATCTACCCACACGTTTGTTTTCTTTCCTCCCCAGAAGGCTTGGAAATGTGGGAAAGGATCACAGTCTCCTCACTCTAGGAGCTGCTTAGCCCTTCCTCTCACCCTCCTCTGCTCCTCACATCTCCTTTTCTTGACTGCTTGCAAGTTTCACATTTTTCCATGTTTCCTTTTTTATGTAGATAAAATTCAATTTTCCCTCACTACTTGCCCCTAGCCATCATAGCCAAACAAATTAAAATTGCTTTTAAACAAAGAAGATACAGTTTCTTAAAGGCAGATCTTTGTAAGTAAATAAACAGAAGGAGAAGAAGGGGAGGAGGATCCATTCTCTTACCCAGAAAACACAAAACAGAACAAACCAAGGGAGAAAAATCAACCCATTTCAACAGTACGGGTAGAGAAGGGCCACAACAAGTCAGAAAAGAAAAGGATCAATCAAGAAGGGTTTTAATGGAGAAGACAGATCTCAGACCAGATCCTGGAGAAAGACTGTGATAGGTGTTACAAAGAGGGCAAGCTAAAGGTCATCTGAGGTAAGGAGGTAACTAAGAAAATCATCGATGAATGAATGCGGCTGGCATCTGAGAGAGGCTAATTCTGAGACTTCAGAGGCGAGGCTATCAGACTCCAGGATTCCAACCTCATCCAACAAAACCCAAAGAAGCTTTGATAATGACGCTTCAGGAGGCTGAACTGCTTTGGGAGAGTGGTCTCAGAAGCAAGGTCAAGGGTTCACGTGCCACCAGGATTTTCTCTGCTTCTAGTCTCTGCTTCCTTGTGCAGTTTGCCTCCGTGTCTCCTGAAAGTCTGCCTTCTCTACCTGAGGTGATTCTGCAGTTTCCTAGCTCATCATCCATCATGCAAAAACATTTTGATTCAGCTCCAAAATTAAACAAACCCAAGAAAAATATTTTGGGTTTTTGTTTGTTTGTTTGTTTGTTGGGGTGTTTTGTTTGTTTGTTTTTCTGTTGTTTTTTGTTTTTTGTGTTTTTTTGGTTTTGGTTTTGTTGTTGTTGTTTTGGGGTTTTTTTGTTTTTTGTTTTGTTTTGTTTTTGCTTGCTTGTTTGTTTGTTTGTTTTGTTTTGGCTTGGCATCAAGGGTCTATGCCCAGAATCATCACTATGGTTAGGAAGATAAGGCCATGCAAAAAGATGACAGTGGACCACATCAAAATTCATGGCCAGATTTGGTACAAGGATACAACAAGGACTTAAGGAGGAAGAATATGAACTTCACCCTGGACTGAGATGTGTGATACATCAACAAGTCTCATTTGAGGAAAATTATAGATGAAATTCTAAACAGTCTTAGTAAATGAGAAACACAGAGCTAAATACAGAGGAAATAGCCAAAGAGATCAGAGCAATAGCCATGACTAGCTTTAGCTTACCACCAGCAGTAACTACCCCAGAGAGAGAGTTTCTTCCTGCCTGACTTGTGTTTTTATTGCCTTTTTGTTCTGCCTTCTCATAGGCTCTAAGCCCAGTCACATGACTTCCTCATCACTGCCTGTCTATACAGACCTCCAGGTCTCTATGGTTGGTACTGGGATTAAAGGCTCGTGTCACCACACTTGGCTGTGTCCTTGACCACAGAAAGACTCTGCTTGCCATGTGTTCGGATTAAGGGCATGTGCTACCCCCTCTGGACTTCTGCTTAATGGCTCGCTATGTGACCTCTGATCTCCAGGCAACTTTATTTATTAACATACAAATAAAATATCACATTTCATCACAAATAAAATATTACCACAGAAAATTACTTTTATGTTTCAGTTAGCAATGTGGGGGTAATGGATTATTCTATGCTTCTGTTTTATTTCCCCATTTTTTAATTTCTTCTGATTTAAGCCATTAGCTATTAGTTTATGTGTCCTTTGAAGCCACCTTAAATTCTTTTTAAGAAAATGGAAGTAATTGAAACCAACTACTTAGCAGCT